ATGATGAAAGCTGAGACGTTCGAAAACCCATGCAAAATAAAATATTCCCATGGGTTTCTAAAGTCTCCCTTCATCATCATTATATATATATATATATATATATATATATATATATATATATATATATATATATATATATATAAAAACAATAACTCCGTTAGTTCATAATATAAGTAGATCATAGTAATATAAAATATAAAACTGATCCAAAAAACAGCTCAATGCCTTTATTATTACAGAACAAAAAATAATACAAAATAAAATCAAAATGGGAATAACCTTATTTCGACCGGCGAAAATATAATTCGTCAGACTTATCAACCCCAGTGTAGAGGAGTTTATATTGGAGGTGATACGACTGACGAATTACATTTCTGTCGGTCGAAATTCGCTTCGTCTTATTATATTTTCGTCGGTTAGGTACCTATATGGATAAACAGATAGATAGATAGATAGATAGATAGATAGACAGACAAATCAGGAAAATTAGATTGATAGATTCATGAAAGAAGAAATAAACTGTGTTATATTTGCTCTATTTGTATTTAGCACTCTTTTAAGAATAGTAATTGTTGGTTATTGGAATTCTCTATACACCAATCCTAGATAGATAGATAGATAAATTCGTTAAAAGAAAAAAAGAAAGCAATAGATAGATTGATTTAATAGATATATAGATAGATAAATAGATAGAAAGATAGATAGATTCATTCGTGAAAGAAGAAAGAAAGGAATAGATAGATTAATAGATAGATAGATAGATAGATAATAGATAGATAGATAAATAGATTCATTCGTGAAAGAAGAAAGAAACAAATTTTTAGATAGATTGGAAAAGTTAGATAGATAGATAGATGTATAGATAGATTTATAGGTTCATTCGTGAAAGAAGAAAGAAACCAATTGAGATAGATGGATAGATAGATAGATAGATAGACTAGATTCATTCGTGAAAGAAGAAAGAAAATATAATAATAGATGGATAAGATAAAAGATAGATAATAGATAGGTTCATTCTAAAGAAGAAAGAAACCAATAGTGATTAGATAGATAGATAATGATAGATAGATAATAGGTAGATAATTCATTAATGAAAGAAGAAAGAAACAAATAGATAGATAGATAGATAGATACTTATATATAGATAGATAGGTATATATATATATATAAATTAGTGAGATAGATAGATAGATAGATAGATATGGGTAGATAGATAGATAGATAGATTCATTCGTGAAAAGAAGAAAGAAAGCAATAGATAGATAGATAGATAGATAGATAGATAGATAGATAGATAGATAGATAGATAGGTTCATTCGTGAAAGAAGAAAGAAACAAATAGATAAATAGATAGATAGATAGATAGATAGATAGATTTCATTCGTGAAAGAAGAAATATATATATAGATAGATAGATAGATAGATAGATATATAGATAGATAGGTTATATATATAAGAAGAAAAAAATAAATAGATAGATAGATTCATAGATAGATAGATAGATTCATTCGTGAAAGAAGAAAGAAAGCAATAATGAAAGATAGATAGATAATAGATAGATAGATAGATTTATTATTAAAAGAAAGAAAAATAGATAGAAAATAGAAAGATAGATAGATAGATAGATAGATAGGTTCATTTCGTGAAAGAAGAAAAAAAACAATAGATAGATAGATAGATATTCATTCCCCAAAGAAGTAAGAAAGAATTTATAGATAGATAGATAGATAGATAGATAGATAGATAGATAGATAGATTTTTCATTCGTGAAAGAAAAAAAAAACAAATAGATAGATAGATAGATTCATTCGTGAAAAAGAAGAAGAAAGAATAAATAGATAGATAGATAGATAGATAGATAGATAGATAGGTTCATTCGTGAAAGAAGAAAAAATTACAAATAGATAGATAGATAGATAGATAGAAGAAATAGATAGATAGATAGATATATTCGTGAAAGAAGAAAGAAATTTGATAGATAGATAGATAGATAGATAGATAGGTTCATTCGTGAAAGAAGAAAGAAACAAATAGATAGATAGATAGATAGATAGATAGATAGATAGATAGATAGATTCATTCGTGAAAGAAGAAAGAAAGCAATAGATAGATAGATAGATAGATAGATAGATAGATAGATAGATAGATAGATAGGTTCATTCGTGAAAGAAGAAAGAAACAAATAGATAGATAGATAGCTAGATAGATAGATAGATAGATTCATTCGTGAATAGAAGAAAGAAAGCATTCGATAGATAGATAGATAGATAGATAGATAGATAGATAGATAGATAGATAGATAGATAGATTCATTCGTGAAAGAAGAAATAGAAACAAATAGATAGAAAGATAGATAGAGATAGATAGATAGATAGGTTCATTCGTGAAAGAAGAAAGAAACAGATAGATAGATAGATAGATAGATAGATAGATAGATAGATAGATTCATTCGTGAAAGAAGAAAGAAACAAATAGATAGATAGATAGATAGATAGATAGATAGATAGATAGATAGATAGATTCATTCGAAAAGAAGAAAAGAAAGAAAGAATAGATAGATAGTGAGATAGATAGATAGATAGATAGATAGATAGCTTCATAAAGAAGAAAGAAACAAATAGATAGATAGATAGATAGATAGATAGATTCATTCGTGAAAGAAGAAAGAAACAAATAGATAGATAGATAGATAGATAGATAGATAGATAGATAGATAGGTTCATTCGTGAAAGAAGAAAGAAACCAATAGTGAGATAGATAGATAGATAGATTCATTCGTGAAAGAAGAAAGATAGATAGATAGATAGAAAGAAGAAAGATAGATAGATAGATAGATAGATAGATAGATAGATAGATATGTTCATTCGTAAAAGAAGAAAGAAACCAATAAATAGATAGATAGATAGATAGATAGATAGATAGATAGATATAGATAGATAGATAGATATATTCATTCGTGAAAGAAGAAAGAAACAAATAGATAGATAGATAGATAGATAGATAGATAGATAGATAGATAGGTTCATTCATTCATTCGAAAGAAACCAATAAAGAGATAGATAGATAGATAGATAGATAGATAGATAGATAGATAGATTCATTCGTGAAAGAAAGAAACAAATAGATAGATAGATAGATAGATAGATAGATAGATAGGTTCATTCGTGAAAGAAGAAAGAAACCAATAGTGAGATAGATAGATAGATAGATAGATAGATAGATAGATAGATAGATAGATTCATTCGTGAAAGAAGAAAGAAAGCAATAGATAGATAGATAGATAGATAGATAGATAGATAGATAGATAGATAGATAGGTTCATTCGTGAAAGAAGAAAGAAAAAATAGATAGATAGATAGATAGATAGATAGATAGATAGATAGATAGATAGATTCATTCGTGAAAGAAGAAAGAAAGCAATAGATAGATAGATAGATAGATAGATAGATAGATAGGTTCATTCGTGAAAGAAGAAAGAAACAAATAGATAGATAGATAGATAGATAGATAGATAGATTCATTCGTGAAAGAAGAAAGAAAGCAATAATGAGATAGATAGATAGATAGATAGATAGATAGATAGATAGATAGATAGATTCATTCGTGAAAGAAGAAAGAAACAAATAGAGATAGATAGATAGATAGATAGATAGATTTCATTCGTGAAAGAAGAAAGAAACAAATAGATAGATAGATAGATAGATAGATTCGAAAGAAGGTTCATTAGATAGATAGATAGATAGAAAGAAATAGATAGATAGATAGATAGATAGTTTCATTCGTGAAAGAAGAAAGAAACAAATAGATAGATAGATAGATATTCGTGATAGATAAAAGATAGAATAGATAGATAGATAGATAGATAGATAGATAGATAGATAGATAGATAGATAGTTCATTCGTGAAAGAAGAAAGAAAGCAATAGATAGATAGATAGATAGATAGATAGATAGATAGATAGATAGATAGATTCATTCGTGAAAGAAGAAAGAAACAAATAGATAGATAGATAGATAGATAGATAGGTTCATTCGTGAAAGAAGAAAGAAACAAATAGATAGATAGATAGATAGATAGATAGATAGATAGATAGATAGATAGATTCATTCGTGAAAGAAGAAAGAAAGCAATAGATAGATAGATAGATAGATAGATAGATAGATAGATAGATAGGTTCATTCGTGAAAGAAGAAAGAAACAAATAGATAGATAGATAGCTAGATAGATAGATAGATAGATTCATTCGTGAAAGAAGAAAGAAAGCAATAGATAGATAGATAGATAGATAGATAGATAGATAGATAGATAGATAGATAGATAGATAGATAGGTTCATTCGTGAAAGAAGAAAGAAACAAATAGATAGATAGATAGAGAGATAGATAGATAGATAGGTTCATTCGTGAAAGAAGAAAGAAACAGATAGATAGATAGATAGATAGATAGATAGATAGATAGATTCATTCGTGAAAAGAAGAAAGAAAGCAATAGTGAGATAGATAGATAGATAGATAGATAGATAGATTCATTCGATAGAAAGATAGAATTCGAAAAGAAATAGATAGAATAGATAGATAGATAGATAGATAGATAGATAGATAGATAGATAGATAGATAGGTTCATTCGTGAAAGAAGAAAGAAACAAATAGATAGATAGATAGATAGATATAGATAGGTTTCATTCGTGAAAGAAGAAAAACAAATAGATAGATAGATAGATAGATAGATAGATAGATAGATAGATAGATAGATGATAATAGATTCATTCGAAAGAAGAAAGAAAGCAATAGTGAGATAGATAGATAGATAGATTCATTCGTGAAAGAAGAAAAGAAAGAAATAGATAGATAGATAGATAGATAGATAGATAGATAGATAGATATGATTCGTGAGATAAAGAAACAAATAGATAGATAGATATTAGATGAAAGAAGAAGATTCATTCGTAAAAGAAATAGATAGATAGATAGATAGATAGATAGATAGATAGATAGATAGGTTCATTCGTGAAAGAAGAAAGAAACCAATAGTGAGATAGATAGATAGATAGATAGATAGATAGATAGATAGATAGATAGATTCATTCGTGAAAGAAGAAAGAAAGCAATAGATAGATAGATAGATAGATAGATAGATAGATAGATAGATAGATAGATAGAAGATAGATAGATGAGATAGATAGATTCGATAGAAATAGAAGAAAGAAATTCAATAGATAGATAGATAGATAGATAGATAGATAGATAGATAGATAGATAGATAGATAGATTCATTCGTGAAAGAAGAAAGAAACCAATACATAGATAGATAGATAGATAGATAGATAGATAGATAGATATGTTCATTCGTGAAAGAAGAAAGAAACCAATAGTGAGATAGATAGATAGATAGAAAGACAGATAGACATTGCCGGATTGAAAAACCCGACTTGTAAAATTCTTACTTTGTTAACAGGAAATTGCGAAAGAGAAATGTAGCGTTCTATAAATGTTTGATTTCCTGGAGAATTTATCAAATCAGAGTAAATACGAATTTCGAAATTCTCCATTTCATCACGCCTGTTGCTTCTGGAGTCTGGCATGCAACTGCTTTGAGTCGCGTGTCAGTGTGATCTTGACGAACAAATATATATGTATATAAGAAGCGGTGACCTGCACCAATCGTTATTCGATAAAATAAACGATACAACGACTGGAAGTTCAACATTCGATAGGACCTGTTTAACAAACGGTTTCTTGTTCCAGACGGTACCTCACATCTTGCCCTCAAGAACAGTCATTTCAGTGGCGAAGCGTGTCCTAATAGGGAACTCGATATACAACCATATACAAACGAAACTCCCAAATTCTCTTCCATTACTTGTATGCACAAAAAACAAAATATTATCAGTTATTGGCAGCGTTTATCCGGCAACCTATCTTCCATAAAATTTTGTTGTGGCGGTGTTCACGATCACGTACGTTTGAACCAAGATACGATGATATATATATATATATATATATATATATATATATATATATATAATATATATAAAATAGTAATATATAAATCCATATATATGTATGTATATGTATATATACATATATAATAGTAATATATTTATATATGTGTATATATACATATATATATATATTACTATTATATATGTATATATACATATATATATTATATTATATATGTATATATACATATATATATATTAATATTATATATGTATATATACATATACATAATAGTAATACAGATATATATATATACATATATAAACATATACAGTAGCGTCCAAAACTAAGAGACAAAATTTTAAAACGTAATATTTGTTAGAAATAACAACTGCGAAAAGCTGAAATTTTGACAACTGGTAGTCGTTATCATCCATAATAACATACTAAAATTTAAATCATTTGCAAAGGATAGAAAAATAATTATATCAATTATTTACATTACATTATTCGGACTAGTGTCCTCATCTTTGTCGCCATATTTATTACAATGTTTAATAATACTGTAATATTAATATTGTATTAATAATGTAATAGTGTAAGTTCGTATTTGTGTATTTTTTTAATCTATCGTTTTCTTTAAATATTAAATTTGTACCCTTTAAGAATTTTGCTAAGTGTGCTGTATTAATTTCATTCTTTCCCAGGTGTACCGCTGCTGAAAATGTTTCAGAAACACTGCTCTAGACATAAACAGGGAAATGTTAGCAATCTGCCCACCATAAATTCATAGTTTCCTTTCGAAATTCCTTGACGGTTACACAGATATACAATCAACCTTAGGGCATAAAACGTTGGGATAGCAACAACAATGATTAGGATAATAGAGCAAGTGTAAGTAATCAATATATTATTTTAATAATTCCATCACAAGCAGATAAAATCAGTAAGATACAACGGGTTACTGAGTGTGAAAGAATCAGTCACGATTTTCCAGATCCATTCAAGTCTGTTACGCCTATGTGATTTGTGTCAGGGAAAGACATTCTTTTCGTCATGTCTGCTTTCTAGAAATAGGTTATTTCTCGAAAAATATCAACCGGATTAGGCGGCAAAAAAATGGCAGTCATAGTCGTAGTGAGGAAAATATCGTATGTTATATATTACTGCCAACAAATATTGATTCCGAAGAAGGACTGAAGCACTATTTACATTATTCAGACTATTGTCCTCATCTTTGTCGCTATATTTATTACAACGTTTCGCACATTGTACGCTCCGACATTCTGCAGGTGGTTGGAATGTTAACTGAACCCTTTATTTTGATCACTGGGGTAGATTGTTCTAGTTCCACGTTCCATGTTTAATGGATGTTATCTTCTGTTAATTCCCCTCTGCAAGTTCTGCACTGCCTTATCCGAGTATTGAACTCACTCTTTCGGTCCTGTCACTGGATCTAACCAACACATGACCCAAAGATCGTGAGTTCAATACCCGGTTAATGCAGTGGAGAAATTGAAGAGGGGAATTAACAGAAAATAACTAATAACTGACATCCATTCCATGGCACGTGGAATTAGAAGAGTCTAAAACAGTGAGCGAAATAAAGGGTTCGGTTAGAACGTTGTAATAAATATGGCGACAAAGATGAGGACAATAGTCTGAATAATGTAAATAGTGTACATAATACCTCATCTCAGAAATATAGACAGATACTGAAAGGCCGAAACTTTGTAATAAATATGGCGACAAAGATGACGACAATAGTCCGAATAATGTAAATAGTGTATATAATACCTCATCTCATAAATATCGACAGATACTGAAAGGCCGAAACGTTGTAATAAATATGGCGACAAAGATGACGACAATAGTCCGAATAATGTAAATAGTGTACATAATACCTCATCTCATAAATATAGACAGATACGGAAAGGCCGAAACGTTGTAATAAATATGGCGACAAAGATGAGGACAATAGTCCGAATAATGTAAATAGTGTACATAATACCTCATCTCAGAAATATAGACAGATACTGAAAGGCCGAAACTTTGTAATAAATATGGCGACAAAGATGACGACAATAGTCCGAATAATGTAAATAGTGTATATAATACCTCATCTCATAAATATCGACAGATACTGAAAGGCCGAAACGTTGTAATAAATATGGCGACAAAGATGACGACAATAGTCCGAATAATGTAAATAGTGTACATAATACCTCATCTCATAAATATAGACAGATACGGAAAGGCCGAAACGTTGTAATAAATATGGCGACAAAGATGATGACAATAGTCCGAATAATGTGAATAGTGTACATAATACCTCATCCCATAAATATAGACAGATACTGAAAGGCCGAAACGTTGTGATAAACATGGCAACAAAGATGAGGACACTAGTTTGAATGATGTAAATAGTGTACATAATACCTCATCTCAGAAATATAGACAGATACTGAAAGGCCGAAACGTTGTAATAAATATGGCGACAAAGATCAGGACAACAGTCTGAATGAGGTAAATAGTGTACATAATACTTCATCTCATAAATATAGACAGATACTGAAAAGCCGAAACGTTGTAATAAATATAGCGACAAAGATGAGGAGAATAGTCCGAATAATGTAAATAGTGTACATAATACCTCATCTCAGAAATATAGATAGATACTGAAAGGCCGAAACGTTGTAATAAATATGGCGACAAAGATGAGGACAACAGTCCGAATGATGTAAATAGTGTACATAATACTTCATCTCATAAATATAGACAGATACTGAAAAGCCGAAACGTTGTAATAAATATAGCGAAAAAGATGAGGAGAATAGTCCGAATAATGTAAATTGTGTACATTATACCTCATCTTAGAAATATAGACAGATACTGAAAGGCCGAAACGTTGTAATAAATATGGCGACAAAGATGAGGACAATAGTCCAAATAATGTAAATAGTGTACATAATACCTCATCTCTGAAATATAGACAGTTACTGAAAGGCCGAAATGTTGTAATAAATATGGCGATAAAAAAGGGGGCAATAGTCCGAATAATGTAAATAGTGTAAATAATACCTCATCTCAGAAATATAGTAAGATACTGAAAGGCCGAAACGTTGTAATAAATATGGCAATAAAGATGAGGATGGCAGTTCGAATAATGTAAATAGTGTACATAATACCTCATCTCTGAAATATATAGAGATACTGAAGGACTGAAGCATAGGGCAGCTTGATTACTCACTCATTGTAGAAGCTGTTAAACATCCATGACGTAGGCGATCATGGCTCTCCACCTCTCTCTATCCTTTGCGGCACTCAGCAAGTTCCTTTCCTCTGCTTCCTCCTTCTGACCACATTCTGTCATCCACCTGCTCAAGATCGCCAGGTATGTCACGCGCTACTTTCTCTTGTCTCTCTTTCACTTTATTTGACCCGTGAGTGTCAGATTCTCCAGGCCATCCTTCCTCATTATGTATCCCAGAAGCTTCAGCTGCTTCTTTCTTATGTTAAGTATAAGCCTTCTCCCTTTTTGCATACTATCTCTTCCTCTCTTCTATTTGTCGTTTGGTGTTTTCGAAGAATGCTGTTTTTTTTTCGTAGATTTCTTTCTTTCTATGTGCTCATTGTGAAAGCTGTTGTTTCATGTGATAAGTACTGACTTTTTCTTTCTATGTGCCATGTCCTTTCTTGATGTAGACGATCATGGATCTCCACCTCTCTTTATCCCTTGCTGATCCCAACAAGTTCCTTCCCTACACTTCCTCCCACCAGACCACGTTCTGTCATCCACTTGCTTAAGGCCGCTAGTTACGTCATGCGTTGTTTTCCCTTGTCTCTCTTTCCCTCTCTTCCACCCGTGTATTCTCCAGGCCTTCCTTCCTCATTATGTGTTCCAGAAACTTCACCTGCCTCTATCTGAAGTTAAGTATAAGACTTCTCCTTGCTTGTAGCCTCTATAAGAACTCAGAGTTACTCACATGCCCGTGCATGATATCTTTAGCATCCTTCTGTAGAACCACATCTCCGTCGCCTCGAGTCTCTTCGTCATCCTTGAGGAAATCATCCAACATTCGCTACCGTAAAGAAGAACAGATGTCCCGTAACAGTTCAACATTATTTTCTTTGTTACCAGAGAAATCGTCAAAAATTAAATTGATAGATTTTACTAATCCATGTGTATTTAGATTTAAAGATTAAAACAAATGTACAGAAATAGCTAATTTTCGCAGAATTTTGATTACGGAATTGACTTAAATTTTTTTTACTATTTCACAAATAAGTCGAAATAAAGTTAATATCTTTTGTATTAGATAGATTGAATGGAAAATATATTCAAGCCGAACTTTTAATTACGTATCAACACTTGCAAAATATGAAGTTTTTTTTGTTTTTTTTTTTAACTGTATTCAATGAGAAAAACCGTGTAAAAATATTATATCGCTATTTCCATGGTATTTATATAATAGGGCAGGTTGAATTTTTCATCTTTTGAGAAAATCGACATCGCACACGATGTAAAAGCTGAGGTTTCATATGATAAGGACTGGTACCCAAAATTAGGTTAAAAGTTTTATAAATTTTTGAGCCTTTTACTTTTAAATATCGGTTGAAAAACGTTTCAGAAATCCCTTATTTCCGCAGATATTTACTTACAAATAGACTTCAAAATTTTACCATTTTACGAATAAATCCTAATAAAGTTCATATATTTTGTATTAGACACATTGAATTGAAAATATATTCAAACGAAATTTTTAATTATGGATCAGCACGAGCAAAATGTCCACTTTTTCATTGTATTCGATAAGTAAAAACTGTGTAAAAAAAT